ATTTTTTACAAAGATTTATATACAAACTGATGTGGTAGAAAATAAATAAAAGAGTGAATACAAAAAGTCAAACTTATTATATTCACATCAGTTTGTACATAAATCTTTATAAGTTTTGTTTATACATCCAGATTTTTTATTACAAAGCTGCAATGAGCTTTTATTAGTCACTAAATCCATTCCGTATGTTCACCTTTCTAATTTCAAACAATTCAGAATTATATATTATTCCTGTATTTGTTTTGCTGCAAAACATTCCAAAAATCAATGAAATATATTTGATAATTGATTAAAAGGTTATTTTCTTGGTTGAAATAATCGAATATAATAATAAATTCATATTATTATTATATCTTCGTTTGATTGCAAGCAGTTCATATATACAATATAACACTCAGGCTCCCCTCCTGGAAAAAGCGATCAATAAAGCAAAAACTGGTATTGAACTTGGATCTGGCATGTCAACAATACACAAAAGAAGAAGAAGTAATTGAAGGTTACATCAAGATTTAGTACGTTTCTTTAATTAATGCCTCTTTCTTTTTGAACTTTCAACTAATTTAGTTGAATGCCTCAACTACCAGAGTTGAAGAACATAAATATTGTCAAGTCCAGCTTGGATCATAGCCACAAAGTAATGAAAATTCTGAGTTGTCATAGCAAATATGGATATAGTAATACTCCAGCGTATACTGTAATCAATAATTGAGGTTAAATCAATCAGTTAAATTGTCCTTGTCATTTCACTACTACTAAATCAAAGATTTTGATAATCTTATAGCAAGTTAATAACTGCAGTTACTAATAAAATGGGAGTCAGCAATCAAAGCACAGCCAGTAGTGTAAAATTCGTTATAGAAAGATCAAACATCATCTTTCGACTAATACTGGCTATTTTAGCTTTGGTCGTATTACGTTGGTAATGAGAAATGAGTAAATAAAAAATGAATCAACTTGTCACGTGCATGGTCAGTACTTCAACTAATGTGTAACCTTTTTTTTTTTTTTTTAATGATCGGGGTATCCGAACCAATATATGTATATTTCAACTAATTTTTTGGGACTCTAGAACTACCGATCAGGTAAAAGCTTAATGAGTATTTTTATTAGCAATCAAAGATAAACTCGAACTCAAGATCTCTTGAGTAATATATTAAAGAGTCTTATCGAACCATTCGACCACCCAAAGATAGTAGTTAGTAACTCAGTCATTGTACAATATTGCATATATTATTTGATTCTGTTTCGTAATATGAAAATAAAATTAAAATTAATTTGCATTATTAAGAATCATAAATAAGTTTGATAATTTCTGAAAACAGTTTTTCCAAAATGAAGATAATGAAAATTACCTATAATTAAAAATCCTTAATAAGACGCAATTCTGGTTGAAGGCTTCTCGCAATTAAGGCTCCATCCTGATTGTCCTTTATGTCGTCGAGGCAGATTAATAGGACATTGCTTTCAAACTCTGAAAGCAATAACATTAACTGCATAGTGATATCCATTTCATTATCATCATGAAAATTTTTCTCTTCTTTGCTTTGTGTTTTCCTGGTCCTGCAGTTTCATCAGTAAGTCCTCGACGTTATGAGGCAATCTTTAATTTCGGTGACTCTCTGAGTGACACTGGCATTTTCTTCTATCCGGTGCCCTTGCATTTCCAGTCATCGGAAAGCTCCTATGGTGAAACCTTCTTTAAACACTCGACAGGGCGGTGCTCAGATGGACGTTTTATCATGTTTTGTTGGTATACTTTATATCCCCCTTGATATCTTCAGAATTTAGTAGAAAATTTCAGATATAGTTTCTAAATTTAACTTAATTAAATAAAAGTAAAAAAAGGGACTAAAACATTTTGTTAGCTGATAATATTAGCTCATTATTAGTCATTTATTTAAAGTAATCACGTCGGGATTACTATCAGTTTATTCTTAGAACATGATTGTATTATTAATAATCTTGATAATTTAATTGCACGTAGCTGAGGCACTGGGTTGCCATATTTACCCCATATCTCGCACTAAACAAAGGCCAAGTTTCCAACATGGAGTGAACTTTGCTGTTTCTGGAGCTACCGCACTTGGCAAAGATTTTTTGAAGAGCAAAAACTTGGAACTCTTTGTGGACAAATGCTTCCTTGTCTGTGCAGATTGGTTGGTTCAAGAAGCTCAAGACCTCCCTTTGTACAACCAAACAAGGTCTGAATTTCCAAAACCTAATAACTGTTATTACCTCACTATATTAACTTACTTTTTTTTTTTTTTTTTTAAATGAACTTTTGCTTCATCCAGAGTGTGACAACTACTTGAAGAAATCGCTGTTTTTCGTGGGAGGATTGGTGGAAATGACTATAATTACCCGCTTTTGTAGGTGGAAACATTAATCAACTTAAAGCATCTGTGTACCTCTCGTTGTTGAAGCAATTACTAAGGCCATCAGTGTATATGAATGAAACTACTATTTTTCTTTAATCATTCTTCTTTATATTCCCTTTCTTCATTTTAATATTCATTTTTCTGGGAAAATTGATAGATGTTGATTGAAGAAGGGGCAGTGGAGGTGGTGCCAGGAAATTTGCAGTAGGGTGCTCGGCTGTATACATGACCTTGTTCGAAGCCCTAACAAGCCGATTACGATCCAAGAAAAGGGTGTTTAAAGGCATACAATGCTTTTGCTAAGTATCATAACAATAAGCTCAAGGATGCATTGCAGACTTGAGACTAAAGTATCCTCATACTAAGATTATTTACGCCGACTATTATGGTGCGGAAGCGTTCTATCATGCACCTAAAAGATATGGTGAGAGTTCTGTAACACCCAATTATGCCATCTAACTTTAACAGTTCTTTTGCTGGTGCAATAAATAGGTTCCATCTAACTTCAACAAACGTGTCATCAATGAATCGACACTGAGGTCCTGCATTAAATTATGATCTAATTTGAATTTTACTTTGTGGTTTGTAATAGTAGCTTATAAAATGTTGATGCAGGATTTACGGGGGGACGCTAAAGCTTGCTGTGGAGGAGGTGGACCATACAATTTCAATAATTCAGCAAGGTGCGGTCACTGGATCGAAAGCTTGTAAAGATCCATCCACTTTTGCAAATTGGGTGGAATTCACTTAACTGAAGGCGCTTATCGCTCTATTGCCGGTGGTTGATCAATGGCGGTTTTTCACCCGTACCTTTGACCACCACGACATTAAAAAGGGACTACCATCATATTTATTTACCTCTTAACAATCCAATGAAAGATATTTCAATTGTCATTTTATGGAATTTCAGCATTATGTGATTATGTTTATGTGCAGACATTTTCTTAATTGATTTGTGTAGCTCCTATGGCATCAAACCATTAATAAATACTCATATTTCTCTTTATACATGTATTATTGCTTATAGTCAAGATAGTAACCTAAAAAAACAGAGAAAAAAGAAAAGATATACAGTAAAACCTCTCTATAATAATACTTTAATAGGAATAATCTCTATATAATCATAAAAAATTCAGGTTTTAACTTTGGTCAATTATAAATAAGATTAAACTCCACATTGTAATAAGTTATAATATTTTTAGGTCCTGTCTTAAAGTAACTTGTTTCCACATAGTTATAATTATTTGTATATTGTAAAAAATATATGATATATTATATTAAAGATTTAAGATGAAATAAAATCTAAAGTTGTTTGGGATAATGATTTATGATTTAGAGTTGTTATCACGTTTTTAACAGGTACGTAATAACTCGCTAACATAAATATTTTTTTGTTAAAGCCAAATTATGACTAGATTCTCAAACATGTTTAGAGATTCTTGGTACGAAATAATATATATTTCTTTTATCAATGTCTATATCTAGGATTGGACATGCTCTATTAATTAATTATTAATATTGTGTATATTTTATCTCTATATTAATGATAACTAAGTCAAAATAATAATTTTTATAACTATACCTCTATTAAGTTATAGCTTTCTTATAGTAATAAAATTAATTTGATTTCACCGCTATCTATAATGATTATAACTATAAAGATGTTTATCAGTACTGAGCAAGCTACAATGTGAAACGAACATTAAAGCCTCCAATATAATGAGAATGGGCTTCAAGTCTAATAAGAAAAGAGAGCAATTGAAGCCCATGTTTTATATNATGTAATCAATAATTGAGGTTAAATCCATCAGTTAAATTGTCCTTGTCATCTCACCAACTACTAAATCAAAGATTTTGATAATCTTATAGCAAGTTAATAACTGCAGTTACAATAATAAAATGGGAGTCAGCAATCAAAGCACAGCCAGTATTAGTGTAAATAATTTCGTTAATAGACAGATTAAACATCTTTCAACTACTAGTGGCTATTTTAGCTTTTGGTCGTATTAACGTTGGTAATGAGAAATGAGTAAATAAAATATGAATCAACTTGTCTACGTGGTCCAGTACTTCAACTAATTGTGTAACAGTTTTTGTTTTTTTGTTTTAATGACCGAGGATATCTGGACTAGTTTATGCACACTTTAATTAATTTCTCGGAACTCTGAAACTACCGATCAGGTCAGAGCTTTAGTGGCTACTCTTATTAGCAATCTAAGATAAACTCAAACCTAGGATCTCTTGAATAATACACCAAAGAATCCTTATCGAACCACTAGACCACCCAGAAATAGTTAATTGTGTAATTCAGTCATTGTACAATAATAATTGCATATATTATTTGATTCTGTTTCGTAATATGAAAATAAAATTAAAATTAAAATTAATTTGCACTATTAAGAATCATAAATAAGTTTGATAATTTCTGAAAACAGTTTTTCCAAAATGAAGATAATGAAAATTACCCTAGTAAATAAAAATCCTTAATAAGACGCATTTCTGGTTGAAGGCTCCTCGCAATTAAGGCTCCACCCTGATTGTCCTTTATGTTGTCGAGGCAGATTAATAGGTCATTGTGCTTTCAAACTCTAAAAGCAATAACATCTAACTTGCATAGTGATATTCCATTTCAATATCATCATGAAATTGTTTCTCTTCTTTGCTTTGTGTTTCCTGGTCCCTGCAGTTTCATCAGTAAGTCCTCGACGTTATGAGGCAATCTTTAATTTCGGTGACTCTCTGAGTGACACCGGCAATTTTCTTCTATCCGGTGCCCTTGCATTTCCAGTCATCGGAAAGCTTCCCTATGGTGAAACCTTCTTTAAACACTCGACAGGGCGGTGCTCAGATGGACGTCTTATCATTGATTTTGTTGGTATACTTTATCTCCCCCTTGATATCTTCAGAATTTAGTAGAAAATTTCAGATATAGTCTCTAAATTTAAACTTAATTAAATTAGAAGTAAAAAAAGGGACTAATAACGTTTTGTTAAGCTGATAATATTAGCTCATTATTAGTCATTTATTTAAAGTAATCACGTCGGGATTACTATCAGTTTATTCTTAGAACATGATTGTATTATTAATTATCTTGATAATTTAATTGCACGTAGCTGAGGCACTTGGGTTGCCATATTTACCACCATATCTCGCAAACAAACCCCAAAGTTTCCAACATGGAGTGAACTTTGCTGTTTCTGGAGCTACCGCACTTGGCAAAGAGTTTTTTGAAGAGCAAAAACTTGGAACTCTTTTGTGGACAAATGCTTCCTTGTCTGTGCAGATTGGTTGGTTCAAGAAGCTCAAGACCTCCCTTTGTACAACCAAACAAGGTCTGAATTTCCAAAACCTAATTAACTGTTATTACTCTCACTTATATTAACTATTTTTTTTTTTAATGAACTTTTGCTTCATCTCAGAGTGTGACAACTACTTGAAGAAATCGCTGTTTTTCGTGGGAGAGATTGGTGGAAATGACTATAATTACCCCGCTTTTGTAGGTGGAAACATTAATCAACTTAAAGCATCTGTACCTCTCGTTGTTGAAGCAATTACTAAGGCCATCAGTGTATATGAATGAAACTACTATCTTTTCTTTTAATCATTCTTCTTTATTATTCCCTTTCTTCATTTTAATATTTATTTTTCTGGGAAAATTTGATAGATGTTGATTGAAGAAGGGGCAGTGGAGCTAGTGGTGCCAGGAAATTTGCCAGTAGGGTGCTCGGCTGTATACATGACCTTGTTTCGAAGCCCTAACAAAGCCGATTACGATCCAAGAAATGGGTGTTTAAAGGCATACAATGCTTTTGCTAAGTATCATAACAATAAGCTCAAGGATGCATTGCAGACATTGAGACTAAAGTATCCTCATACTAAGATTATTTACGCCGACTATTATGGTGCTGCCAAGCGTCTCTATCATGCACCTAAAAGATATGGTGAGAGTTCTGTAACACCCAATTATGCCATCTAACTTTAACAGTTCTTTTGCTGGTGCAATAAATAGGTTCCATCTAACTTCAACAAACGTGTCATCAATGAATCGACACTGAGGTCCTGCATTAAATTATGATCTAAATCAGTCCTTTGAATTTTATCTTTTGTGTGTTTGTAATAGCTAGCTTATAAAATGTTGATGCAGGATTTACCGGGGGGACGCTAACAGCTTGCTGTGGAGGAGGTGGACCATACAATTTCAATAATTCAGCAAGGTGCGGTCACATTGGATCGAAAGCTTGTAAAGATCCATCCACTTTTGCAAATTGGGATGGAATTCACTTAACTGAAGCTGCTTATCGCTCTATCGCCGGTGGTTTGATCAATGGCGGTTTTTCTACTCCTTCCCTTCGACCACCACGACATTAAAAAGGGACTACCATCATGTTTATTTACCCCTTAACAATCCAATGAAAGATATATACATATTATAATAAGTTATAATATTTTTAGGTCATGTCTTAAAAGTAACTTGTTTCTACGTAGTCATAATTATTTGTATATTGTAAAAAATATATGATATATTACATTAAAGATTTAAGATGAAATAAAATCTAAAGTTGTTTGGGATAATGATTTATGATTTAGAGTTATTACCACATCTTTGATGGATATGTAATAACTCACTAGCATGAACATCTTTTTGTTAAAGCTAAATTATTACTAGATTCTCAAACATGTTTATAAATTCTTGGCACGAAACAATATATATTTCTTATATCAATGTCTATATCTAGGATTGGACATGTTCTATTAATTAATTATTAATGTTGTGCATATTTGATCTCTATACTAATGATAACTAAGTTAAAACAATAATTTTTATAACTACACCTCTATTAAATTATAATCTCCTCATAGTAATAAAATTAATTTGATTTTACCGTTACAATTATAAAGATGTTTATTATAACTATATAGAAATATTCATTAGTACTGAGAAAGCTACAATGTGAAACCAACATTAAAGCCTCCAATATAATGAGAATGGGCTTCAAGTCTAATAAGAAAAGAGAGCAATTGAAGCCCATGTTTTACATCTGAAATGAATAATTCTGTGAAACCCAAGCCCACAGAAATCAAGAACAACCTTATCTAAGGTCCAAGAATTATTCACCCATTATAATTCACCACAATAGCTGCGAATTGGCTACTGTCTACAGCTCACCTTATCTTGATTCTGGACTAACTTTTGTTGATATTTCCTGATCGTCATTTTGAATGCTTTTCGTGCGTACAAACTGAGCGTACTGTCAATATTGAATATGAATAATAAAGTTCATATTTCTTAGTTTTATATCTCTCTTTCCAGTGGTATTCACAATTTCACATTCCAGCTTTCTTTGGCATAATAGACACGACCAGCGACGTAATTAGGATTTTTAGTGGGTGGGATCAAAACATTAAGTTGATAAATTTAAATAAAATACATACTAAAGTAATAAAAATAAAAAAATGTAAAGTAAAAATAATTTTTAAAAGTTATACATATCAAATTATCAATTTTATAGTTATCCTCAACAATTTTTTATATACTGAAAACATTGCATAATTGTTTCATTGATAATGTCAACAAATATCTCTCTCTCAATATATGTAATGTGACAATCATTTAACAATTGGTTTCTTATTCGATTATGTAGTTGATTTTTTACAATCTTCATCGCTTAAGTATATAGAAAAGATTTTTAAGTAACATAATAAAAAAATGAAAGGAGAAAAATGAAAAAAATGAGGAAATGTGAAAAAATTTTAATTAATAAAAAAATTTGTGAGGTCAAAATTGTCAATAAGTATAAAATATAAACTTATTTTAATTTATTTCAAACTTTGAGTTGGTTCAAGACTTCAAGTGATCCATATTCTATTATGTGGCTACGTCCTGGGCACGACAAATCATTAATTTACAATTATGAACAGACAGGAACTCTAAAAAGAGGACTCTTGTTATGTCTAGTTAACAAGACGTTTATGTTGTCTTTGAGAAAAAAACGACAAGTCGTCTCGGCCTTCAGGAATGAATGACCAATCATCTTTTATATGAGTTCAGTGAAAACTATGAAGGGTATATCACCATATCTGTAAATGCAACCCCAAAGTAATTGATAAATACTTGTTTGACATAAGAGAGTGAATTGAGGTAAAATTGACAAAACCAAATTCAAACAAATTTGTAAAGTTAATGTATTGTCATCACTCTCCATAAGAGTAGAAAACATAATAAGAAAGGCTGGCCTTTTAAAGAAAGTTGATCCTGATGAATTATGTTATGTCTCAAAAGTCATACTTATGTCAACCTAATAAATATCTTTCTGTATTAGCTGCCAAGTCCATATCTTCTCAAAGATATTCTTACCAACCTTATCTTTTTATAAAAAATGAATGGATGAGAGTCTTTCATGTGTCAAGACAACTTACAAAACACTTATTACATTGAGTGCAAAGGTGTATAAATTAGCACTTCTCTTCCCGAAGAGGGAGGCTGGGCATATGAGAGCTAACCATAGATAACAGCTTAATTCTTTCTCTATGTAAACACTGTATTTCTTCATCTTTGTATGCCTTACAAGCAAAATCATAGAAATAGTCAGAGCTCAATAAAATAATAGTGGATGTAGGAGTCGCTTGTTGGGCATCCGAACCACTATAAAAACCTCTCTTGTTAGTATATTATTTATGTTTTCTGCAACATATATAATCTCAGCTCCATATTCAAATATCATGGATTTATTCACGTGTGTCTCCTGAGTCATCTCAGCGTTTCCCACGTGTGAGTCGCTAGCGTCCAAAATCAAGCGTCAACAAATTACATGGTGAATGATGCAATTATCCCATCATGCATACATGCATAAACAAATGTAAAAAGACTCTTTCAACTTTAAAAACTATTATGGGATTCTTAATATATAACAATTAACTAATGTAAGTAACCTTGTTCTTTTTAGAAGTGAAGCAGCCAAAAAACAGTAAAATTATGAACAGCCTCAGGTCTTCGTAGAGATGAGAAATTAATTAATTTGGTGCATTTGTTTTCCTATTTTTGCCTATCATATTCCTATTATTTTCAAAATATACATTTGTTTCCCTATTATGAAAATATTATACATTATATAATTTTTTAAACCCCTTAAGTTTGTTAATTTAACTAAACACCTCCAAAAAAGTTTAGAAATTGATAAAAACACCCCCATCCACCCACGTTTGCCAGATTCCAACCACCACCGTCGGAAGGTGACTAGAATCTGGTATAATGACGCACTACCAGCTGGATCTGGCCAGAAAATGTCAGATCTATAGCCAAAGATCTGGCTATTGATGGCCAGATATTTGGCAGTAGCTAATCGTCAATGATGACCAAGATATGACCGTCGTTGACCATCAATGATGGCCATATCTTTGGCCATCGTTGAAGACCAAACGCGACCATATTTGGCCGTCAATGGTTAGATCTAGCATAGATCTAACCCTTTTCAGCTAGATCCACAGTGGATTTGGCTGGAAAAAGGTCATTTCGGCGCACGACTAGTGAGATCCAGCTAGTCGTGAATCGATACAGCTACTTTGGCCATCCTCCGGCGGTGGTGGCCGGCTGCCGGTATTTAATGGGTGGGTGGGGGTGTTTTGTAATTTATAATATTTTTATTACAAGGGTGTTTGATAAATTAACAAACACTAAGGGGTGTTTTTATTAATTTTCAAATTCTATCTCGTTATTATCACCAAACTTTTACTTTTTCAAAAATACTATCCACCCAATTGATATTTAGGGCAACATATATCAAAGAATTAAGGAAGATGAACCATGGTATATAACATATTCAAGTTAAAAGTAAGATTAGTTATATAATCACACAACTTTAAAAAAATGTAGCGCAGAAATTCTGCAGTTACTGCGCTCCAGAATAAAAATTTAGTAAAATATAATTGCCAAAGGGATAATAAAATTAAGAGTCCCAAATGGGACCGAAAGCTGGAATTCCTGCTGACTTGCACGCATTGACAACATCTCTGCTTCCTTCTGGATTGCTTGTAACAATGACTACTTCAGCTCCCCATCTTTTAGCGGCATCTACACTCATTTGAGACACATTTGGACGACCAAATAGAGCGGTGTCATGCACTATCACCTTGTCTTTGGGATGCCTACTTACCATCTGCGTAATTTCTTTACCAAAGTTTTGTTCAATCCCTTTAGTCACCCAAACCAAAGACACACTAGCTCTACAAGGCTGCAACAAGAATGACAAAAACACGCAAATCCCTGAGCCTGTTGCAACCAGCAGAACCCTATCGTACATGTTAGTTAGATAAGGCAGACCGGCAAAGTGCGCCTGGCGAACCCACAGATGGCTTGGCGGGTTTGACAATAAGGAACTCGTGAAGTCACCAGCAGCACCCTGCGCATCACGTGTTCTGTTTTTCCATCAGAAATAATACCAAAGCGTGCCATTCAGAAAATGGGGTGGACTTATCCTTCAGTATACCGGCTTTGATTCCCCCTTCAAACTTAATGACAGAGGCATGACCTGAAGGAGCAGAGACCTTAACGGGTACGCGCCTCACTGTCAACCATGGGATGATTATTAGTACCGTGATGGCTGCGGTGAACCAGAATTCTTGTTGCTTGATAAGCCTTGAACCAAGTTCGCTTGTGTAGGATTTGATTTTCGGGTCATAGAGATTGTAAGGATAACAAATGCCCACAGGAGACCAAGCGCAGTCCATCCTGCAAACCTATGAATCCTTTCGATACATTGTGATGGAGATGACGAAAAAGAGGGAATGCAGCCAATGAGGAAAGACAGAGAAGAAAGAATAGCACTGGCCACGCCTATGATCTCAGGAGAAGTGTTTTCTCTGTCTTTGAGGTGAGGATTAAAGCATAAATAAGCCGAAAACTGATGAAACGCCACAACCGCTTGAATACCTCCAAGACTCTGAAGCAAAGAAGTGGTAGCGGTTTTTATTGGGAGAGGAACCCAAGACTTCCCCAATATTTTGACTGCGAGCAAAAAAAAATTCGCAAGAAGGCTTCGCTTCTGCATAGTGTCAAAGCAAGAATATTTGCGATGGAAAAAAGGGAAGCTCTATTTCTGGCATACGGGAAATGACCAGTGATTGCAAGAACCAAGCCAGTAATGTTCAGGATTAAGCAAACTGCAAAGAGTCGCTTGTAAACCGTGAACAACCTTGATCAAGCAAAATTACGACAACCTTGATTCTTGCTTTCGTGCAGCCTTTGATGGTTGCTCACGTTTGGCGGATGGAATGATTGGTTTGTGGTGATCTCTCTCCTCGTTCTTCCCTTTTTCTAAATTCTTCAAGTGATATCGCTCATCATCACTATCATCGTCTCTACATCAAGGTCAAGGTCACAGAAGTGGCTACTGGCTCGACTCATGGATTTCTGTATCGAAGAAGGGAACACTATGGAGGAGTTACCATAAATATTCCATGAAGGCCAGAATCTCTTTGCTGTT